TATATATATATCCTGTAAAAGAAAAAATGTAATGCCTTGCATATGAAATGCATATTGTTTTCCCAAATCAAACTTTGTTAACAAATGTAAACAAGTCAAAATCAAGTGTGTTTTTCTTGAATGGGTGATCTTAACTGCATTTCGTTCTACAGTGCATCCCTGATGGTATGTTTGAACGACAATAAAGAGAATCTGAATCTGAAGTCAAAGCTAAAACCTTCCATCGAGTGTAGACTGTGTTGTTTAGGCTAATGTTCATATAAAACTGGTATTTCACCCAAAATTATGTTTAAAAATATGTATTCAGAATTTGGTCACATTATGCTTTCAGAACAGTGTCTGAAAATAAAACTTCTTTCTACTCACCATAAATAAATCTCGAGCTTCTAAATCTACAGCGAGGAGGAAGGCTTTCTCGAAGCGCTGATGCCTAAAAGAAACAATAAAAATAAAAGTAAGATTTAAAAACACAAGTAAATTTTACTGCTTGAACAAACCTGAGGTTCATTTTCYTCGTTGCTTTGGTTTGTTTTGCACACAGACCAAAATCTAAGAACACACAGGCCTGCACATAAACCTCTGTGTGCAATAATGTCAACAAGTGAGCAGCAAACAGTGAGGACGTTTTTTTTTTCTTCAGAATTAAAGCCGAGAAGGAGCGAGCTGAACCTCCCAGTACCAAACAACTTTTCCCCGTCTTCGCCCAACATGAAACAAATAAACAAGCAGTGAGGGGAGGTGGTGGTGGGGGGTTGCTCTTTATTTGATCTTATTGGAGAGAAAACGAATGCAGGTAGGCGATAAGAGAGGAAGACGAGGAGGGAAACAACGCTCCGGCTCGGGCACAGAGGAGGAAATGGAAGGTAATTGCCGAATGGAGAGCAGAGAGCGGCGGCGTGTGGGAACAACGGGGTCTATTTCAGTCAAACAGGCGTTTCAAAAGGCTCTCATGGCAGAAGAAGAAGAAGGRAAAAAAAAGAAACAACAGTCTAAACAGGTCTACGTGTGGTGCTTTGCCTCATGAATGACTCAAAGCTGCATCAGGGTGAAATTCAAGAGCTATTTCCTTTTTAGGGGGTTTAAAATAGCAAAAGCGAGAAAGAAATATGCAGCGTTAAAGGGATTTTCCAATGGGTGACAATTTTTTGGACAGTTTTCATTGAAATTACCCTCTGCACATTGATCTACAGAACAATATACTCTAGTAGTGTTTAAAATAGCCTTACACAACATTTTAAATGAATGAATTCCGCCTGATGGTGGGATACTCTTTGTTTTATGTCCAGGACTACTCAGAATAAGATGACCTGAACCCCCCAATGAGTTGAGCGAACAAAGCTCATTTATTCCACTGATCATTAAATGAAGACCCCAGCGACAGCAAGGAGAAGGTGGTGTTACCTGAGGAGGTGGTGAAAAAAGCGGCGAGCGCACTTGCTGACTGGCTCCCTGTACTCTAATATCACAGTATCAGAGAGAGGGACGGGTGGGGCGTAAAACACACCCAGAGYTGCTTCTAGCTGGGCTGCAGACGGAGAAGAAACACAATAATCACCAAATGTTTTGGCTCACACGTTTTGACATAAATCAAACYCTAAAAGCCACACCTTTCTGATGTGAATCAAAGACCCCCCCTCACCTTCCCGCTCAGCGTTCAGCTGCAGTCTCAGCAGGTGGTTCACGATGGAGCTCAGGCCTCGATAGCACTCGTACCCCATGGTGCTCCAGTCCATCGCCTCCAGGAYGCCCTGAGCCTCCCTGACCTGCCCACAACGTAGCCTCTGATGCAGCAGCTCACCCAGACCCAGCTGGCCCCCTGTCAGAGCTCCTGAAACATGGATTCAGAGTTTAAAAAGAGACAAGCATGAAAAGAATGAGGGTTAAATGCAACATGTCAAGAAATCTTTATAACAAGAGATATCGTGGTTTGATGAAATGATTTCATTCTCAAATAAATTTTGAAGCAAACATTTAAAACAAACACTTTCTGCAAATATTTAACAGCGAACACTTTGTGAATTATACACCCCTTTAATTTATGTGATGCACCTTTGCTCGTGGTACATTAGGGGTTCCCAAATGCTGGTCAACAGTCCAAAATCAGAACCAAACCAAGTCTTATCTGGTTCCAGTTGGTTATGTTTCAGTAAAATTGTTGTTTAATGCACAGCACAACTTTTCMGTGCAATTTTCCTCTCCATCTTTCCTTTGCAGTGAAAAGTCAAGCCAGTAAAAAAAGACAAGCCTAAAGAAACATTATATAAGTGGAAAGCAATGAAAGAGAAGTTTTGAGAGTTTAGATATATTTTTTTATTATGAATGGATGGACCCTTACAGTTTAACTCTTCCTGTGGAGTTTAAAGCTTAAATATAGACAACTGAGGTGTTCAGAGTCAGAAGTATTAATTTTCCATAGCCTGGTAAAAAACAGGGCTTGCGACCTGTCCAGGGTGTAYCCCGCCCCTCGCACTGTGACTGCTGGATATGGGCACCAGTGACCCACGCGATCCTGAAAAGGAAGAAGCGTGTACAGAAAATGGATGGATGGACGGATGGTAAAAAACAGCCCCTTGTTCTATGCTTTGCTTCGTACAGAGGGTCTGGAACCTTGGCTACTGAGAAGCGATGGACTCCACTGAAGTTTAAAACAATTGGATTTGATTTACCCAATCACTAAAGTTTGTCTGTGACGTATGCAGTGCCCCAGCTCAACCGTGAAGGAGGCTATGCTAAGAAGCTAACTGGAAATTGTGAGCACCATAAACAACCATTTKCTGCTGGGAAGAGAGAAGTACCAAGCTGAACAACGTGGCTGTAAATAAGTGCTGCAAGCTTTGTGAGAAAAAATGAATTTAATTTAGAAGCCTTGTCAACACRGACCAACTTCATTCACTTCCTCCACTGCCATTGCTAAAGTAGAGGCAGGGTAAAACRGCACAGAAAATCAATGTTGTCGTTCACAACTCCTYMTTCTGTTCTCTGATTGGCCTGGTTAAAATTCTACCAGCGAAATCCTTGTCTGTGGGAGAAATCCCAGAAGGAGCAGAAAAGGGAAAYTAGAATTGAGTGGAACTGAGGAGGAAGACAAGGGCCAGGCTTGCTTTCCACTGATGTGTGACAAAAGAGCACAATCAAACCTTTTCATTTATTTATATTTGCCTGACCAAAACTGACTTCTCTGGAGTTGATGCTTCAATAAACATTATTGTTCCCAGTGCTGGCTCTAGCCATTTTGGTGCCCTAGGCGAGTTGAAGCGCAATCCCCCCCCACCCCCCAAACTA